TGTCTTTTTATTTCTTCTTGTTCCTGTATTATGTTCTTTTTTTCTCCAGAGACCATCCCTGCCCTCGGTTTGAACTTGGCTTTAATTTCTCAGATTTTTTTTTATAGGAGTCTCTCATTCTTCCCTTTTTGTTGTTATCTTCTGTTTCTCTGCATTAGTCATTGTGGCATTTCTCCTTATCCCTGCATGTCAGATGTTGGACAGTTGTGTTCATACTTCTGGCTTTGTTCTTTCTTTTATTGCATGAAGTGTTTTATCTCATCCATTGTTTCTTATTTTTCTTTTTGGCCACTGTTAGTGTTTTCTTGCATTCATTCTTAATTATATATTTTACTTCTGTACACAGTTCTTCAGGTTCCTGATCGATTATACTCAGTAGTTCAAATCTGTTTCTTACATTGTCCTTGAATTCATCTGAAATGTTATTCAGGTCATATTTTGGTATAATGATGGTTTTTGCTTCATTCTTCAGCTTAACTCTGATTATTGTTATGAGCAGTTCATGGTCTGTGCCACAATCAGCTCCTGGTCTGGTTTTGGCCACAAGAATAGAGTTTCTCCATCTTCTACTTCCAATTATGTAGTCTATATGTTTTTTGTGTTTACCATCTGGTGATGTCCAGGTATATAGTCTCCTATCTGGTTGTATGAAGCAGGTATTTGCAATGAATAAGATTATTGGCCCCACAGAATTCTATCAGTTGCTCTCCTGCTTTATTTCTTATTCCTAATCCAAATCTTCCTACTGTTTTTTTATTATTCTTTGTTGCCAACTTTAGCATTCAAGTCTCTAATGATTAGTTTGAAATCTTGTGATGGTATGTTGTCAATTTCTTCCTGGACCGCATCATAGAATCTCTCAGTTTCCTCTATATCTGCATCTAAAAATTACTTGATTGCAATTCCTATCAGTCCTATCAGCCCTGGTTAACATGTGCAATGCAGTGATGTGGATTGAAAAACATCAGAATTTTTTCCCCAGTGCTATATTTTTTCATGGAATTTTTTCATATATGCATTCATGAGCACATGTGCATGGACACAAACACACATCCATTGTAATCTGGCATCTTTTTTTTTTTTTACTATAGTCAAGCATAGCTTCTAGTTATTCTTCTGAAGAGGCAAGCATTGAAAAACCCTAGTACAGTCAGCCCTCACATTTGTGGTTTTGACTTTTGTGGATTTAATTATTCATGGATTTGATTAAAATGTTTTCTCTAGGAATCTCTAGGTCTTGTGTGATTCTGTGGTCAACATCTGCCAGAAGTCTCACTAGAGGACATAAGAACACTTTTCTAGGCATCTGTAAGTCCTCTAACTTCCAGCAGATGTTGACCACAGAGTTGTGCAAGAGGACCTAGAAATTCTTAGAGATGTTCTGTCAGGGGGAAAAAATGGGGGGTTTTATTTGTAGTTTCCCCTGTAGCTAAGAACACAGTGGGCCCTCCACATTTGCTGGGGTTAGGAGCACAGGGCCCCTGTGAAAGTGGGGAAATAGCAAATAAAAAACCATGGGTTGTTTTAACATGAGAGAACACCTCTCTAGGAATCTCTAGGTCATTGCTCTCCAGAGTAGGTGGTAGCGCCCCCCCTGGATGCATTGGAAAGCTCTAAGGGGGTGCTGAGGGAAAAAAGTGCAGCAGGGGGGTGCTGAGGGGGAAAAGGGTGGCAGGAAATTGTGGGGATGCAGGTTGCAAGTCGGGTTGTCATTGCTGCTGAAAAACCAAGAAAGTCCCAGATTGAAGTCTTTGAAAAGCAGCATGTCTCAGATTCCTGAAGGTAGGAGTTGAAACCTTAGGAAAAAACTCATCTAGATCTTGCCTTTGAGGCTCTGCGTGGTACTGTGCAGGTGTGCCAAATCCAGAGGTGGGAAGGGAAAGGAGGCAGGCAGAGGCTTGGAGCAGCGAGGAGGCTTTGTGTCCCGGTATGTGTGTGGCGATGCTGCATGCATGGTGGAAATTTTGCTTGCTTGGGACTGGAGCTGGCCTTTCCTCCAGCTCCCTGCCCCCACATAGAAATGTTTGTGTGTGTTTTGGAAAAAGGGAAGGAACCTTTCTTAAGTACCTCTTTGCTCTTAGTTGCATGCTAATGGGCTGGAGCTCCCCTTTCCTCCATTTCCCTCTCCAATAGAAATGTGTGCATGTGTTTGAAAAAAAATGAGGGGAGGACATATGGGCTCTGGAAGACAATAGTGAAGTCCAGGAAATAAAATTTGGAAATAAATCCATTAGCAACATAATGAGAAACTTTCTTTCTTTTTCTCTCCTATACAAAAATACCTGACCCCCCCCCCCATTTGGCAGATAATATTAAATTTCTCAAGAAGTCTCTGTATTACTGCATCTGAAAAAACCTTTAAATGCTGCTTAAAACACATCAAATGCAGTCCAATTTAAAAAATAAAACCAAACATTTGACTTTGGTTGGAGGTACTGATCTCGAAAGGTTAGGTCTCAGCCCTTTGTTCCCTCTTGTTTAGGATTCTCCTGTTATATCTAAAATGCAGTATCCTGAATTCTAGAAAGCATATCCAGGAGTAGCTGTGTTGACCACACTGCAAACAAAAAAATTCAAAATCCACTAAAACAGTGATAGATTTTTCCTGTTTGATTTTTAACCCTTGCATTGGATACTGTCAATGTTCTGGTGACTCCTGGGGTTTCCTGTTCCTTCCCCCCCCCTTTTTTTATTCCCCTTTCCCTTCCTTTGCAGGGAGAAGCCTGGAGGAGGCAGAGGAGGGCAGCTGTAGGAACATTTCTTGGCATGGGCTACCCAGGCAGATATGCAGTGCTTCCTTCCTCAAGTGGAAATCCTGCTGAGCTTGCCTGCCTGCCTGCCCTCTTTGCCAGGCATCCCATTCGGACAACCTTGTTCCTTCCATAGAAGGGCCTCCCTCTTTCACTTTCCCAAGCCACTCTCCAGCCTCACCTTCCTTCCACCAAATAAAAAAACAGGGTTCCAGTTTTCCTTTGGAACTTGGGCTCGCTAGCAGCAATTGTTGTTCTGTGCCTTCAAGTTGTTTTGACTCATGGTGACCTTAAGGAGAACCTATCATGGGGCTTTCTTGAAATTTTTTCTTCGGAGGGGGTTTGCCATTGTCTTCCCCTGTGGTTGAGAGAGTGTGACCTGTCCAGGGTCACCCAGTGGGGTTGCATGGCAAGCAGGATTTCAATTACTTCATTTGCAAAATTACCCCAAAGCAGCCACTTCCCTTGCTTAGGATATTTTCTTCCCCCCTCCAGTGGAACAGTGGACCTAATACCAAGAAATAGGCATGGGTGGGGTGGTGGTGATAGGGTTGTCACCCAAGAGAAAAGGAGGCAGTAACCTGAAAAAGTTTGGGGACCACTGCTTTAGGTCTTTCCTATGCAAGTCTGTGGTCAACATCTGCCAGAAGCTGACCATAAAATTGCACTGGAGGTGTACAAATGCCTAGAAAAGAGTTCTCTCTAGGAATCTCTAGGTCCTCCAGTGTGACTTCTGACAGACATTGACCACAGAGTTGTGCAGTAGGACCTAGAGAGTTTTTAGAGAAAACATATTAATGAAATCCATGAATAATCAAAGCTGCAAAAGTCAAAGCCACAAATGTGGAAGGACAACTATATTAGATTTGTAACTCTCTCCATATCTATGTATGTACTATTTTAAGCATGCATAGAGTGATACATTTCTCTCTGATGGTGCTGTCCCTCCGCTTCTTAGCAGGTGGCATTAAAAACAGTGTCTTCCTATGCTCTTGTACCTAATGATGCTTTGATTTTGAGTTCCTGCATGTCAGGGAGGTGGACTGGATGGCCCTTGTGGTCTCTTCCAACTCTATGATTCTATGTCACTTTATGTGCAGTGCAGCATGTGATGGGATGAAAAAAATAAGCCACAACCCACTGTGAACATGTAAGCTCAAAGCCAATGCAAGTCATGCTAAAGTCACATTGAAATGAATGGGAGATAAATTAGTCACAACTCACTTGTTCTATCGATTTCAATAGCATCATAAGACTCTTTCTGGATTTGGGCCATAATAAAGCTGAACTTCTTGGAATGCTGAATTATTTAAAGACACTTTTCAGCAGGGGCATTAAGAGCAGCACCACCTCAGAACTGGTAATTTCTGACAGGGAGAGAAACAGCACCAAAATTGAATCTTATCCTCCATTCTCACCCATTCAACAACATATTGATAGTTGCTGCTTTTGCTGGTGTTTGTTGTTTTTTGTTGTTGTTTGCCTTCAAGTTGTTTCAGACTTATGGCAACCCTAAGGCAAAACTATCATGGGGTTTTCTTGGCAAGATTTGTTCTGTGGAGGTTTGCCATTGTCATCCTCTGAGGCTGATAGTGACTTGCCCAGGGTCACCCAGTGGGTTTCATGGCTGAGGAATCGAACTCTGGTCTCCAGAGTCATAGTCCAGTGCTCAAACCACTAGGCCTACCTGAGACAAAAGAGATGCCACAGGTGCCTCGCATTTCAGTGTCTTTTGTTTTAGGGAAAAGAGACATCGAAGCAGTTCTTCCTCAAGCTGTTCCCTTCCTGGTGTACCATGTTGCACCTTTCATCATCTAGTTAATGATCACCTAACCATCTAGATGTGCTGGCTCTCATATTTCTCCATATATTTATCTGCCTCATTTATTCATCTACTCCCTGATCAAGCTTCTGTAAATACGTAAATATCTGCCTTGGTCCAGGCTTTAGAGCAGGGATAGGCAACCTTTCCCCT